CAGATCAAATAGAACACAAGAATATTAGATAAAAAGTTTTATTTCACTGCAACGCAAACAAGTTTATTTACATATATAGACTGAGCACAGTTCAAAATGAAAATCTTCGCTTGGGAAGTATCTCCCGTTATTCGGTGGGAACTGTCCAGTATCCAAATTGCTTTGCGTTTAAATTCTTCCTTATTTCAAGCTAACAGAACTGTATGCCCACATCCAAAGTTTTCCGGCATGAAAAACTGGAACAAAGAATATCTGCATGGTGAAAAGTGAATGAGTGAATTTATCTTCCCTTGGTGTTGTATGTGGAATCAATTTCTACAACTTATTATGCTAATGTATCTGGTCATAAATCGTAAAACATTTGTCAGTGTATTTCTGATGTCTTTTTCCGAATGCGACTACATCTGCTTTCCACTGGATTTAACTAACTTACAGACCTCATTACGACTCGACATTCCTAAGGGTGATACAGATTAAATTCACTTATACAAATTAAGCATTTACGTGATTAGCACGCATGACCATATATGACTTAAGTATTCAACAAATTCAGTTATCATAGTTTACACTTCTCTTGAAATGTGGAGCACATTAATGGTGCAGAAAATTTCATGAATATTACGTACTGTCGGGTCTGGACTACGGATAAGTGCTCCAAAAAGGATAGTTTCCTTTTCAGAACCCAAATATATAGACGTCAGTTTTGGAGCTCATGCCAATGTCTTCTCGAATATGAGCCAGTTCAACAAAATTGATTTCGTTATTCTGCGTGAGCTGTGTTGTTACCTCCAGATATTTGATGTCACTTGTGAAATACACTTTATCTGACTTGAAGGTGCGAGATCAGGCCCCCTCGCCACCTGGAACACCGTTGTGCTACGTTCGATTTTAGTTAGACACGCATCACTGCCCAACGTTACTTATTTGCAAATATACTTTGTATTTCGGTCAATAAAGCTGCTTTTATGCGCCCGAAGTCTTCCCCAGAATAATAGGCAATGCGCGTGAAATCGTTGCTAGCTGGGCGCTTGTCTGAGTCACCGAATGATTTCCTGGATGATTAATGGAGGATCGCACTCATCACGCAAGAAAGTATAAATGCTTAAGTTCCTCAGAACAGATATCTGACCTATTTATGTGGACTTATTCTCTATTAAAAGCCGAAATCTTTTAGAACAACTTCTATGACATTAACCATTGCCTGTAGTCAATTTACTACCTGGAAATACAAAATCCATTAGCAAATACCACACTTTTAACCCTCCCATACAAAAATAAGTGATTTCTATGTATAATTTCTTTAGGTGCATGCCTTTCTTCGTAATGATTCATCTGGGATATCAAGACACTTTTACGCGTTTAATACGCATATAATACAAGAAAATATCACTCTTTTCGACTACACAAGCCTAAAACTATTTAAATAGACTCCATTTTCACAAAAATAAATGCTTATAACGCCTCTATAGGCATGAACACGATGACGCATACAATGCGCGAAAATACATCGCAATTGCCTTTATCCTCATCCGAAGCCACCTAAGTAACACATTATATGCGTTGGACTGCCGATCATATCCAGGCACTGAAAGAGTTATAAAATTCATCATCAGTCTATTTTACTAGGTATATCTAAACAGGGTGGAAGGAGAGTGTGCGTCTACAAGCACAGATTTTCGAAAGTACAAGTAATGTGGCACATGAAAAGCACTTGGGTATTTTTATTACTCCTGATACTCACTGTGATCATAAGTACATAAATTTGGTTGAATTGTAGGGGGTCAAAGATGTTCACCAAATCAGTTCAAACTCAAACGTTCCACTATCAACGATCAATTCATTTATCTGTGCGGACTTAAAGATATTGTGGCCGATAGAGTTTTCAAGGAACAAGAGGCTAGCATCTTCGTTGTGTTGTAATTGTTTATCTCTACTCACTCTCCATATCATGGTTAGTAATACACCTTTGAGCAGCCGTAAGTGTTATATTCTACCTTCGCTAGTTTGACCGGTGTTGTTAACAGCCTAAGCACCAGGTTGGGTGGGCCAGTGTAGAACGTCATCAGGTAGTATGGCCGGAGGTCTAGCATGATAGACAGCCATATAGCGATCATGGACACTATTTGTGGTTGAAACCAGCCAGAAGCGAGCTCGCAGTCGCTCAAGCAGCTTAACTAACTGGTTTGTTAGCCGGGAGTAATACCCATTATGGACAAAAGGAACGGCTGGAGGAGTTGCTATGAAACGATGGGTCATTAATTACGAGCTCCTAGCGGCGGTACATTGGTACAGTGCTCACTAACTACTCACGTGGTCCGGAGTTCGATCCCTGGCCGACGCAATCCTTCATCTCGCTAAGCCAGTAACAAGGGTGGTAAAAAGGTAAGGTTGGGCATGAGGCTAGCGCCACCATCCCATAAAAATAAATATCACTGCTACTGAAACTTCAAGGCTCTAGCTTGAAGCTCTATGATCCACTGGGAACAAAAAGGAATAAAATAAAAAAATAATAAACAATACCTCCCATGAAAACTACCAAAGGCAGTAATTAGAAATCGGGTTGCTTCTGGCCTTGACAAAACCCATTCCCGAGAAGACAAAAGGCTGGAATATCATGATAAACACACCACAATAAGTCAAGCTACTAATTCAGTCCCTCTTTACAACAGACACACGTTGAAAGCTGACGTCGGATGCAATCGTGGGGATCTAGTGCTTCGAGAAATGTCACAACTGCCAAACGATTCCATTTTATGCCTGACTTTCCCTTAGAGACTTGGTCATATTCAGTAGAGTTGTGGTCCGAAATCGTAAAGTATTCAGTTAAACCTGCTGTTATCTGACTGCAGTCCAGGGAAAACATCGTTCAGGGATATTGAGGAATGCCTTCACACATTCGAACATCATGCCACTGTGCTTCTGTCATTGGAGCTTCCATGTAACATACCACGCGAAATTATCAGACACCTGTATGAACTCTGCATTATGGGTATAGGCGAGCACGAGGAGTGTTTTAGCTTTGACCTCCTTAAACTCTCATACTTACAGGGTTATTCCCCTAATTACTACCTCGTCGTCGCCCGTAGTCTTTGACTGACGGAATATCAACTGCTAGTGAAACATTGGGTGTTTTTCTGTCCTGTTTTGAGAATCTGCTTAAAATGCATACTGACCGAACTGCGAAGATTCCTTACATCGTCCCATAGACAGTTTTTGGGTAGGACACATTTATTGTGTCTACCAAATACTATTACATAAATGCATTTTCTTCCCCAGTGGTTATTGTCTTGTACTGTTTCTTTGTCGAAAGCTTTCACACGAACTGGACCTCCTCTTTTATCTCCTCTATGGATTTCTCAGGATACCTTCCTTATTTTCCGAATGCAATGGACTGGGTAAAGGAGGCAGTGAAGCATGGGGAACGAAGGATGGAAATATTGTGTCTCTATGTACATTAATTTACTTGTAGGGCTACAGCTGTGATATTTCGCATTCTGGACTGCGTTAAGTGGGCATATCTACGCTGGAGTAGTGCATCCATGTTATAATTGTTATTGCCTGTACATCAAATAGCAAAAATGGTAATCACTCACAACAGTTCGATTCTGGGTAAAGGAAATAAGAAAACCAGAATTGTATCACTATCCGGCTCAGAACATCTAACATTAGAATTAAGTCCAGTGTTTGACGTTTACTGGGTTAGCGGCAGTTAAAGCAACCTAGCCAGAAGGACTCAGCAAGCAGAGTGGCTTGTGTAAGACAGACATTAACATAGAAGGAGTATATTTTTTTTCCTTCACGTTCCCAGTGGAACATAGGGCTTCAAGCTTGTGGCTTGAAGTTTCTGTAGCAGTGTTTTTTATTTTACAGGATGGGGTTGCTAGCCTCATGCCCAACCTTTCCTTTTAACCAGCATTATTTCTGGCTTAGCGAGGTAAAGGAGTGCGTCGGCCGGGGATCGAACCCCAGACCATGTGCATGGTTGGCGAGCGTGTTAACCGCTATGCCACCGACTCACAAGAAGGAGTAAAGTCGGCTTCTAATTGACACAGGATTTGGTTTCCTATGGATTTCGAATCTACCACAGACAAGACTGACGGCATGGTATCCCGGCTTTACTATAGTTGTGTAACGCGGTTTTCGACCCTATGTCGTTGTGAAGAAGTACAGCTATGTAGCAGTAGCAAACGTGAAACGAGTGTCTTTTAAACAGTGGCAGACATATTTTGAGAAGTATTAACGAGGGAAATAAAGTGTTTAATGGGTAGCATCTACGTGTAACAGACAGATTTAACAGACTATCTAATGACATCATATGAATAAGAGCCACAGTTTCTCAGATAACTGCTGTAGAATAACGATATCAAAGTCTAACGCTGTATTGATTCCTCTGAGGCAGACTCCAAAATGCTTCTCATCAGCTAATAGAAATAAAGTGGGATGCATACAGAGGGGCCAATTGAAGTAGCCCATATACCACCCAGCAGAGTCTCAGGTGTCTCAGAGGGTACCGAGTAACATATCTGGTGAGCCATAAGAAAAGAGCTTCTGGCTGCGTAAGGCATCTTAAATAAACTCGGATACTGTCGTAAAGAAGTGATCATGTTATGGCCTGAAGAAGTACCCATAATTTCCGAATGCATGTGGCATCACATTTACTGCCTACAGCATCGAAATGAAAAAAGACATGTGCTGTTGTCTTGACTCATTATGCACATTTCGTGTTTTATAGCCGTTGATCTATACATGTTAGACAACTTCAAATAAAAAATCTCAATTAGAAGTGCGAGACAGTGTATTCACATCAGTTAGACTTGAACAGGTATAAAAAGCGAATTGTTTACAATATCTGTGCAATCAAACTGTTCTGGTTTTTCTCTTAACTCACTAAGTGGGCACAATCACAACAGTTTGCTCATCGCTTTCAGAAACAGCAAAATAAGTGTGCACAACAAAATAAAATAGGTCAGTCATAAAAAATAAAGAATTGCCTTCCAAAAATGTCTCCGCTTTACATGTACGTGTGTTAGTTGAATCTTTTGTTTAAATCCATTAATCTCAATGTAGTCAATATTGTCATTGTCTACGCTTTTCAACGAATTTAAATTATTCACATGTTTATCAAGTTGAGCGATGGAAGCAGTTGAAACTTCCAGATCTGTCAAAACGTGGTGCACTGTAAAGAATGAAGATAAGAGGCAGTCTGTGAGGTCACTTTTCATATCAGCATTGAGTGAAGGCAGGTAATATCTAATAATTATCTTACGAGACGTTAACATTTTCATTTGTAAAGCATAGAATCATGGGAAGGTTTATGCACTTTTTTGCATTCAAACAGTGATTTTATACAATCGGCTAAGGATGAGGCTGAAGTAAATTCCAATTTTCGGTGAAATAAATTTATGTGCCATCCTGTAGTTTAAATATTTTGTCAGCAGATCTTTTAAGACTATTAAAGATATTCTTGAGAGGCCTTCTCCAAATACACCAGTACATGCTATCTTGAGACTCAGATCTGTCTTTGACAGTTTGTGTCGGTCTATATCATGGCAACTTACTTACTGCAAAGAAAACACAAATGTAGTTTGCAATGATGAACATGCAACTGTTCAGTTTTCTCCTCCGTGGTATTCCGATGCTGAAGATTTTCGCTATGTCTCACATGGAAAACATTTGGCAGAGGTTTGTTCGTTTTTCAATATATCGTCTCTGTTAAGGAGAAAGTGTCAAATTTTGGGACGGCACATTCTGGCTTAGTTATACAAGAGGAGAACTTCTTGGTAAGTTATGATCGCTATTTTTGATAGTTGTCTGTTGCAGGAAGAGATTTTAACCAACAAACTGTTTGTTATTTCTGAATGTCGAGTACGCAGTGAGTATGCGGAAATGTTGTTAAATATCAAGTCAAAAAATTCTCCTGACGAAATCGAAATGATGTATCCAGGAGATGGGTTTGAGGCTGTAATCTATTTTTCGGTCTGTAGAAAACTCGGGATTTACGAGTTCATGTACTTTGCTAGAGATAGTGTCAAGAGTTGGAAGTTATCACATTATAATATAAGGCGCGTAGTAAGACCCCAGGTTAGTGTATACAAATTTCATAACATATTTCTTAGCACTATATCTCAAACTTCTTCATATTATGTGTGTATAGAACATATTTTCAACACAGTGTTTTTCACGTGAATTTGCTTGGGATAATTCTTCTATTTTTATTTGAAAAACAAGGTTTCATTTAAATCAAACCAACTTCTGCAGACTGACTAATGCATTTGGTCATAAACAGGACCGTATTAAGTTCTTTCTGCATGACATCACACCTAGACTGAAAGTTTTGAAAGTTAATTGTAACACAATAAAAAGCCTTCATGTGCGATTATTTACTGGTTAGCTATGATCAGCAATTAAGAATACTTAGTTAGAAATTTAGAGATGAAGGATGTCGACGTTTGCGCGATGTACGCTGTATGCAAGCGCGAGTGTTTGTGTCGTAACTCTCAAAGTACTTGTTCTACTGATACCAGACACAAATCAAAAATCTAAATTGATCACCCAAAATAAGAGATATGCTAAGGGATAGAAAATTCTGGTTGATGATTACTTAACCAGCTACAGTTCGTGAACAAACGTGACATCGTGGAGTACAAATGGCGTGTATGCTTCACCAGGTATCTTCAGCTTCGTTAGTGAGGGTCAGTATCTGATGTTGAATAAAAATGCTGCAGACCAATAATTCTGGATAGTTATTTACCGCTACAGAGATTCAGAAGAGTAACTTCAGAAGAGATGTAAATGTCTCATGGACGTTAAACTAGGAATTAATGTCAGTAAAAAGTTTGAGCATTGTGCAATAGATCAAATAAAGTATAATTATATTTCAATGGTTTACACACAATGATAAGTTTTGTTATTGGTAATATTTCGAGCAAAACTAATGCCCTTGTTCACGCCACTTTTGGAATTGTTTTGTTCACACATTTATGATTTGTACTCATATATATAGTTCATTTTTTGTTCATTCATTTTTGTGCATTCAGAATTATATTCCAGGTTGTTGACAGTTGTACTGAGTCACCCTTGTCACATGTATCTGGTGTGACCTTAATGAATATAGATTCTGTTATGTCTCTCTTTCATATATGTGTAAAACTTGGGCACTGAGGCAGTAAGTAATTCCATATTAGTTTGTTTATTAGATGTATCACACAGTGAAACAGTATTATTTACTGGATGACGTTTCGAGCTGCAAATACATGTAATAGGAATGTTTCAACACCTGTCCCAGATATCTGGAAAATTCTACTGCCCCTACGACAAATAGAAGAAAAAGAAAACTATAAAACTCAAGTTTCTAAGTCGTGTGATTATAATTGATATGATTATGAACAATAAATTTTGTTCGAAACGTCATCCAGTAAATAATACTGTTTCACTGTGTGATACATCTAATAAACAAACTAATATGGAAGTCTCTCTTTCCATTTGTTCATATTAGCTTTTAGAATACAAACATTGTTCCAATCGATATTGTGGTTTTTGTCCCATGCATGTGCAGCTATAGACGATTTTTTTCAAAATTCTTGTAAGCTTATGTTCCTCTTGGTTGACCTTTAGTTAGGCGTTTATGTTCATTCACTCCTATTTCGAGTGATGTGGACGTTTGACCCACATATTTAGTCGGACAGTCAGCACAAGATATTTTGTAAATCACATTGTTTTTATCCGTCATTTTTATGGGATCTTTCAGTTGATTTATTTTATTTTTAATTAGATTCGTTGGTTTAAACGTGGTGCAAATGCCAATAAAAAAATAACTGGTTTTATTTATTTATTATTTCCGTCTGAAAAAAGCATAAGAGCAGCCTTATGCCTCAAGATGAAGCCAGCTATTACATTATTTGGATATCAGGATTGGTGGAGCGAGATACTTTACCCTTTGAATTATCCAGAACTCCTAACAGTCCCAGTCCCGCGACCACTCTGCCATCTTCATAATGAAGCATTCACTGTTCAGACCTTCAACCAATTCGGGTGACCAGCCACACTAGTTAGAACTCTGGCATCTCGGACTACGGATGTATGTTTGTGTTTCTGAAGCACGCATATAAGATCTAGGTGTGGTTGTTTACTCAATCTCACCTATCTAGCACGGCATATATGGCAAGTTCACCTTACGAGTATCGGGAGATTCTTCTGTTAGTGTGTGTGGACTTGTAGGTGTAAGAATAGTATTGACCTCTAGAGCAGGAAACTTCCTAGTTGACTATATTCCAATGGATAAACGTATGCGTCCTGTCCGGCTGAAGAAAGAAAGACTGTGATACTTATATTTCCATAATCTTCACTTAAATCCCAGGTGACTACACTTCGGATGAGTTAAGAGATAAGCTCTGTCAAAAGCTGTCTAGTTTGCTGCTGAAGGAAAAAGCTAGGATGTGCTTATTTTAGCACCTGGTCTGTATGCTCACATATGGAAGCTTTACCAGTCAGAAAAGTATATTAGTGGCCCTTGTGGAGTTCCATGTTGGCTAAACGACAGTGATGGTTGTCCTTTACAGTTTTATCCGGATGGTTAGCACTGATTTCAAATACAAGGGAGGATGTCATCTAATCAAGTGACCTCCAACATTCAATCAATGACGGACGCAAGTATATTACGTAGCTAAGAGCTATTGATGGACATTTTCGGTAAAAGACTGCCGCTTCCTGTGGAACACCTACATATACCCCGACCATGGATTAGTATGCGAACGTATACGCCTTATGACCGAGCGAACGTGGGACAAAAATAGTAGTTAAAATCAAGGCTTTATTCTAGGCACATACGAAAGAAAAAAAAGACACCCCTTCAACTTGTTTACGAGAACACATCTGAGAATGACATTAATAGTCGTTCTAAAAATAGACAGGCTTGAGGCCCGGACTATTTTGCTTACTTCAGTGTAGACCTTACTAATTTTTATTTTGAAGTTAACAGTACTCTTATCTTGGCATCAGTTTCTCTTCAAACCTTTGCTGGTCGTCTCACATTCTTATAGTTTCTACGAAAGTTTTCCGTCTGACTTATTACATAAAGAAGTTGAGGCACTCAGGTATAACCCAATCTCTTCTCATACAATTTATTAATTCATGTGTTTTGCCCATCATTCTTTATTGTTCTCCATTATTCTTCCCTGGGCTACTCAAAAAAGACCATATAATACTACGAAGAACATTGAGGGCTGTAAGTAGGGTCAGTGCTATCCCTTTGACTCAACTAACTGACACTGTTGTCAATAGGCATATGAATTCTTGTAAACAGTTAGCTAAAGTTATTTTGTCTGATAGTGAACATCCTCTTTATTCACAATTGTTTCCTTGTATCTCTTCGGGTAAGACCAGAAGAAATTTCATAAACATTTATGCTCGTAGTACAAAATATAAAAATTTGACCGTACCATATTTGGCACGAGTATTGTGTGAAGAGACGAATATCAGAAAAGAACTTTTACAACTTTTAAATCATTAACTAAACTATAAAATGTAATGATGCATATTATTGCATGTGTGATTTGTTATATTATTTATTTATTATTCACTATGACCTAGAAATGGTGTATTTTATTGGGGTTTTTTTATCTTTCCTATTAACTATCAATATTTTTAAAATTTTACATATTTATATAATTATAAAAAGAGCTAAACCAATGCAATATGTAAAATGAAACGCTGAAAATTCCACGCTGTAAATTGTTATTGTTGTGGAATAAAGTGATTATTATTATTACTCATATGAGACCTTTTTCATGACTAAAGTTCACTTTAGACAAGTATATATACAAGATGAAATAAATTTAAATACTTTAGTGAATGAAAATTTACTTATGCTCTTAGTGATCACTAAAAATGTAAAGTGCTTAAGGGATTTGGAGCCCGCGTTATGTTCATTTTTCATGAAAGTATCCAGATGACATAGTATTTCTACATGAAGATTCTGACAAAACGCAGAGTCTTCTGAACACACAGTGGAGAAATTTTGATATATTTGACACACGATTGCCCGCTGTCAAATATAAGATGCTGTAGGCCTGGCCTGCACTGACTCTCATTGTAAATACGGAGTAAAATGGGTGAATATGTTGACGAATTCACTCTTTTTGGAAGTTGTATCAGCCCTAATAGACTGATTGTTGACAAAATCTCATCAAGGGTAAGAAAGCCTAGTGTGGAACTTTTCATTTTATGTCATTTCTGGTGAAGACGTGATATTTAGCTGTTTGCTGCACAGCAGTTTGTTCTTTCCTCCTTTATGGCTGTGAAATTTGACCTCTGAAAGTTGAGGGCCTGAAGAGGTTACAGATTTTCCCGTTGAATCTCCTGTGTTCAGTGGTACAATGTAGTGGGTAAAATTAGGGTTAGGCGTAGAGTGTTAGGCAAGGAGAGCGATTCAGTCGTGGCTGTGAAGATGCATCAAGTGATGTGCCTAGAATACTTGTTACGCTTACAGAGCTACTGTATTTCTAGCCGAACAATGTTAGTTCACGAAGGATTAAGTTGGAAACAGTTAGAGATGGTAAACCCATGACACAGCATCAATCTATGATGCCTCTAACTGTCACTCTGAGCCGTGAAGATACATGGAAATTTTTTGACTGGGGTCACCGAGACAGTAATAAGTGGCTGGGGACTATTGCCGTTACATCTCGATATCTTTCTGAATGGAGTAGATGAATTTACTCTTTGTAGTCACCTAGATTTATTGAATTCTCATTGTTTTCCATGTGATTGTTCTTTCTCCCCTACATTTTCGTTTACTGTAATTTCTTCTACATTACTTTCTGTTTTCTCTACCTTTATGTGTGATTCATAAAGTATAGCAGTTTGAGTATTCGAATGATTTAGATACTCTCAAAAAATGTCCTATATTTAGTGTATTCCTTAGAATTACAATTCCTGCTATTATTGAAATAGTACTGATATATCAGTGATCTACTTTCAAATTCTCAAGTAGTTTATTTTATCAAAGTTTAATATCAATTTATTAATTGCTATTAATATATGAATAAAACTTAAGCACTGTAGTAGTTTGTGATTCTGTATTCGATACGATTATGGAAAGTAAGCATAATTCAGTATTTCATATCTCTTCACTGTTTGTAATATTTCTGACAGAGAAACTAATCTAGTGTTCATTATCCGAGTATCAGTGTGGTGGTCTGCAACATTTAGCACAGTGAACGACATCCGAATTTTTGACAGTGATGTTAAGTCAGTGCATTTATATGGTCCAGAGACACGGCCTGTCACCAGTGGCATTTCCAACACACTGCAGACTTTTACCAACAGCTACATTCGCTTGCTCGATACTGAAGATTAAGGAGCCTATCAGATAGGATAAGCAACAAGGAACTCCTTTAACTCAATTCTAGATTTTCCTGTTGACTGATTGAACCGAAGTAGTTGGTCTCAGGTTGACATGTCGACTTCTTGTGCAGATGCTTCAACGATGTCTGGGCATATAATTAGAAGTTAATTGGTGGTTGGTGACTGGCAGTGGAATCTAGGGTGCGCATTTCTACCACTACCAGTCACCATTCACCAATTAACCTCTAATTACATGCTCAGACATCGTTGAAGCATCTGCATAAGAAGCCGACATGTCAACCTGAGACCGAGCACTTCGGTTCAATCAATCGACGAAAAAATCTAAAATTCAATTAAATAATTAATACGACCCTCTGCACAAGAGGTGGCTCTCGTGGCCCAAGTGATCTAGTGGATAACGCTTTGGCGTTCGAAACTATGGACACTGGGTTCGAGCCTCGATGGGAACGTCATCACTCATTGGGGAATGCAGGTACATCCAAATGACGAGTCCCAAATAGGACGAAATCCACATCCTGGATTCCACTACTAATCACCATCCACCAATTAACAAGGAACTCCGTTAGTGCACAGAACCAGACTGTGTAGAATCTGTTGTCCAATAAATATGCAAAAAGAAATGGAGATGGATGGGACATACACTGAGGAGACTGTTGACAAACGGCAAACTCCGGGTTATCGACTGGAACCCGAATGGAAAGTGAAAAGGGTTGGGCATCGGAGGCTAGTAGGGAGGAGATCACGTAAAGATGAAATGAAAGCATGTGGATAGTTATGTAGCAGGCCAAAAGGATGTCAAAAGGCGGAATGCAGTGAAGATGTACTGCTGTAGTCTCCCAAGAGATAAATAATAGTATGCAGTAAAAACTGTTAGTTTAAAGAAGGTGTAAGGTATCTTTCTGAAATTCTTTAAATGTTAGAAACTGTTTAAGAACGGCTAATGATGGTCTGATCAAGATTATTTTCTCACCAAGTCAGTGAAACTCAGTTAACTAAAAATTAATCCACTGCTCATTATTAACTGAATGCGAGATGGAATTCTTAGAGTTGTAATGAGAACTTGTGTCTGGTGGGTTCCACAAGGTCGTGTATAAAGACATATTAACGGTTATTAACGGTATTGTGATAACCTCGTGGGTTCATACAGATGAAGAGTCCCAAACTACAATGAGACAGCTGTCAAATATCCCAAGTTTTGAATGATTCTCTAAATGATATCAGTTCTTGATGGTGTCTACAATGAAATCAGTCAATCCTCAACAAACCTAAAAACTGACGCAACCGTGAGACAGATTACTTCCGAGAAATTCAGGTTTTAATATGGACAAATAATCATTTGGCCGTTTAGTTAGTTAAAATCAAAGGCTGATGATTTCCAATTTTTGTGAGTGACGTTAATGCTATCCACTGTCATCGACCAGTACTTGTCCTGACACTTCATTTGATGGACTCCAATTACCGGGAATTATCACCAATGATTAGTTTCGATATCGCCCATGATACCCACTAAGTTGGCTGTGCGGGTGGTAGTTATTGATCGCTGACGCTGAGTAGATACTAAACTTTATTCATTATTCTAAATATTCTACTTTAAGTTTGATGTCAGTAGTTTCAATTTAAGCTTAATGTATTTATATTTGAATCACATTTCCTGTTTCTTTTTGCAGAATAACGAACCTCACTATATTTTCAGTACATTTGGGATATTGGCTATAACAGAAAAAGAACAAGAGCATTTAAGTCTTACAGACTGGTTTCAAGAAGCAGTTTTATATGAATCATTAATTCAGAATTCATCATTTCGTTATCTTGCAGCATGGAAATCATTTGTTGTGTAAGTTAAATTATTCTGTGAATCGTTAAACAGTGAGTATTACGATTTTAAGGCCATTATTTTTAAAAATTAAAAAAAATTGTTTGTGAGATCGGAAAATACTCTGCATTTACTGTTAAGTTGATGTAACCTCATGCACAACGAAGTAATCATATTTAGAGCAGAAGAGCTTTTCTTTTCCAGAAAGTTAGCAAAATACAACTGAATTTATACTCATTATGAAAAAAAATAACAGTATTTAACTGAATAACATTTTGGAGTGGCATTAATAACACGCTAGCGCACAGAGTAAAATTTGAGACTGCAGTAGTTACGTCATAGTTTGAATTAGGGATATATAGAACTGAAAAATGGGAAAGTCTAGCCATTCGATTTATGGTGGTTTTGACTTGTAGTTCCTCATGAACTGTGATTTGTCTAGAGAACGAAAAGGAAACACAATTTGTTTTGTAATAAATAGTCTCAAACTCTTCATAAGTATATATCCAAAGTTGTGCAAGAGACTAGACCCAAAATAGTCAGGCGAGCACGTTACATTCCAACTATTGAATTCAGTCCCTTCCGGTTTCTACCTTTTATCTCTGGATGGGAAACATGAAACTCAAATGAATACTTAACAGCGGAGGAGGGTGTAAAAACGTCCAGTATAGCAAAGATGAAACTGGTGGGATAATTAATTGTTGTGAGTCTATAAGAGTAGAAGAAAGAACATAAAGGTCTAGGTGTCCGGCTTGAAACGTCAAATGACAAATGTCTTAACAACTAGATTATGCTCTTAGGCAGACAGCTGAGACATGGATGTATTTAAGACAAACTTCCAGTTTTATTCATCTCACCGTATACTTTTACTATATATGGTTCCCGTTGGCGCAACACATAGCATTCTCTTTCCAAATGCATGTGAAGACCACCATGAGAGAGAAGACTAAAAATCTGTGAATAGTTCAATAATTATTACGTATTTAGTCTTTCTTAAAGAGGTTTACGTACAAATAGACTGCTGATGTTTGGATCTAATAATGTTGCCAAAATTCGATATGAGTTGATGTAACTAGCATGAATATTAATAGCAATAATTAACTCGTCTAAAAAGCTATTACCAGTCACTCCTGATTTCTAAGAGTCCATGCAAATAAAGACAAAAGATGAACTCGTCCGAAACAGTGAGAATGGTACATTATATACAAATATCGCCCACCTCAGAAAGTTAAGCAGGTAAGTGACTAATTTAATTGGTTGCATAACTTTGGGCTTCTAATTCGGCCCGATGGTTTGAATTTATTCAAACTCCTTTAGGCTTGTTTTAGCTAGTTTTAAGATTAGTCAGAATCAAGGGTATATAACATCAAATTACTGACAAAGTCAAGCTATGCGGGTGAAAAGAAGAAAGAGTCCATAGGTGGCATACAGTGAAGGAGTTAACTATTCACTACTCCACACCATATATTTGATTGCAAAACAACCAAGCACACTATCTCGTCCGTTATTATTCTCCATCTTTCTTGAGATTCATAATCCTGACCGACCGACTGAAGAATCACTAGGGGAATTTTGCCTGGAGTACATCGCTTCATTTTGAAATGGTTCATAAAAAGAAATAGTGAATGATATTATCTGCCCTGTAGATGCTTCGCTGTCATACATTAAATCAAGAACAATTCACAACTTGTTGAATATATCACCAAAAGGATGGTATAGCTATGGGCTCACCACTAGGCCCTTTGCTTGCAGATTTCTTCATGGCAAAACTCGAAAACACATGCCTGAAGAAAATGATCAATACCTTCGAAATCTATAAGAGATACGTCGACGACACCTTCATTATCGTCAACAACGAAGAAAATCTAGATGACATCTTAAAGTCGTTTAACAACTGCCACCCTGCAGTTCAGTTCACGATGGAGAAAGAGTTCAACTCCACAATATCCTTTCTTAGCGTCCAACTAACAAGAAGAGAACAGGATGGAACACTGAAAAGGTCTATTCACAGAAAATCGACGTGGAACGGACAGCTTACTAACTTTCACAGTTGGGTACCACTATACACCAAACGAAACCTGATCCGTTCACTCAGCTACAGAGTTCGCAGAATTTGCACCCCGGACACCATAGAAGATTAACTGGACAATCTCAAGAGAATCTTCGTCGAGAATTGCTATCCAGAAAGATTTATTGCAAAATCTATGACTCCTAGACTAGAAAAGCAGCCCATGCTTAGTGTCCCGAAAAAACTACTATACATGAACCTTCAATTCAACGGAGATTTATCTGCGGAAACACTAAAAAATCGACTGTCGCGCTCACTTAAGAAGACCTTCTTTGCAGCTGAACTACGACTAACCTTCTCCACAAAACCTATGATTCGTGTGAACGTGAAGGATAAGCTACCGCTGCTGGCCTCATCAATGTGCATTTATCAATTCACGTGCTCGTGTGGAGCCAGGTATGTCGGCCGTACCCAGCGCTCGCTTTCCAAACGTATCACCGAACACTTACCAACATGGTTTTACAAAGGAGAAAATCGATGTCCCCGCAGTTCCATCTTAGAACATCTGATAGAATCCGGACACCAAGCTACACCGCAAACAAACTTTAAAGTCGTCTACAGAGTAAGAAGTAGTCTCCGTAAAGGTGTACGAATCAGACTTCTTCAAACTGCAGAAGCAATGGCGATTCACTTGCTAAGTCCTGAACTCTGCATACAGAAGAAGTTCGTTCAATCACTACACTTACAATGGACGTAATCTATCTTATTAACCGACAAGTAAATTCTACCTAATCTTTTCTTCTGTCTCTTCATTAGTATTATTTTGCCTTCTCAATTGTAATATTTTAGATTTTCAACTTTCTTGTTCTCTACCCCCACCCGATTCAATTTTTACACCTCACTACCACTGTTACTGACTTGAACAACACTCAATTTCTAGTCATTTATGTTACGTCATCCAACTTATTTGCTCAATTTCACTTCTACTTAATCTCTACCTGCAATTACCTCTGTTGCTATCCTGACCTAAGTTGTAACATTTTCGTCAGTTATATTACGTCATCTAGCTTACTAACTCAATCTTACTTTAGTTGCTGTCTGACTAACTTTGTCTCTATACTACATCATTCTTGTATTAACTAATCAATTATCTAAACTTGACAAACCTCATGTACACACACACACACAAATAATTATATATAAATGCGATTGTACAGCTATGTGAATGAATTCGCCGAAAAGAGTCTCTTCGCTGAATGTCTTCTCTTTTTCATATGACTCAATGGGGATTTTCAATCTACTCAAATTTCTTACTTCCTCAGTTATTTCCACTACCTTTCAAATTGTCATATAGCCTTTTATATAGAGTGGATTTCTCAAAATTTTTATCAGTAATACTTCCAGATGGATTTTCCTACTGAAATGTCTATACAGAATAAGAATAAATGTAACAGGATAATGTGAAGTCATTTCTGTAGCTCATATCCCTAACTATCAAGCTGATTCTGTTCAGCTTCTTACAATCTAAACGTCAATACCGAGATAAACATAAATTACGAAGATATTTAATAATAATAATAATAATAATAATAACGGTTTTATTCCAAACAGTATTTTTAACGATTTGACAAAGAGTTACTGACGGGATATGAAAGTCGGCAGTAATTCTGATAGTTGAAGTGGATGGAAATATTCAGTGTCAAAAGGTTTGATTATTTTCATGAGAACTTAATATTCCTGAATAAAGAAGTTCAAAGAGTGGGTCAAAACAACATTAAGGTGGAAACTGCTTGCTTTTTTATAACAGACTACATAACTACAAGAAGTGTTTCCGAAGAGCATGAACAGTTAGAGGTTGTCAGCTGGTTCTTTTCGCAGTTAGTTTGAAACAAAGTGATAGGCTAGCGTCCTGTCTTATGATTCATTTAAACGATTTCAGACTGTTCACATTATGTCTAACATCCATCAGATAAGGAGTTACTGCATAATTTACTTCCTATGGACCCTTTAGTCCTCAATTCTTTAGGATATGCTGAGGAATGCGAAATAAACCGTCCTGTTTCTCATCTCTATGTCTATGCTTCGGCCCATACATGTAAATCAGTAGACGAAACTCAAGAATTTGCAGTCTTTCGTTAATTCATTTTACATTAACAGATCCGCTTGCTTATTGAATACTTTCTCTTCAATATCATTATTCCCTTGGGTTCCGAGTGGAAATAGGGCTTCAGCAATACATCTCCACTTTGTTTTATTCTCTGCTGTCCTCTTCAGCTGGGTCCAAGATTGCCCATGATATTTCATCTCCTCCTTGTCAGCCTCGGACGACCCACTCGTCGCTTCCCATCAGGGTTCCACTCGATCGATGACCTGCATTATACACAATGTCATTCGACAGTCTTTCCAGTATGTGCCCTATCCATCTCCATTTTCTCCTACATATTTGTTGAACGATAGGTTCTTGGTTAGTTAACTTCCATAATTTCTTATTGCTAATATATGTGTAAAACTTGGGCACTGTGGTAGTAAGTAATTCCATACTAGTTTGTTTATTAGATATATCACACAGTGAAGCACTATTATTTACTGGATGACGTTTCGAACAAAATTTATTGTTCATAATCATATCAATTGATATGATTGGAAACTACTTCGCTACTACGGGGTGCTACCGACAATTATACATCTCATCTAACAGCTGTACGACAATGCTGCATGCCAAGTAATCCACAACGGAAAACTTACGGAACCCTTCGAAGTGAGGACAGGAGTAAGACAAGACTGGCTAGATGCCTACTATTTGCAATGATTTTCCTGATTGCAGTAGACTGGATAATGCGACAAACAGCGGGCAATGAGGAAACAGGCACAAAATGGACTCATACAAAAAACTTGGAGGATCTGGACTTCGCCGATGATATATGTGTGATTTCCCACAAACTGGAAGACATGCAAGTGAAAAGCAACAAGTTAGCAGAAGAAGCGTCAAAGATTGGACTTCCTTCAGGTGAAGATAG